GCGGGCCTTACGGGCCTCTAGGGGCAGCGCGCAGGCAAGGCAAGGCAAGGCAAGGCTACGTGGGGTAGCGCGGTAACCGCAGCGGTAGGTGGGCCCGAAAAAAACGGTCCTACGGACCTTAGTGCTCTGAAACCATGTCAGAATCTAGCAGCAGGAATGGATGAACTAACAGGATGCAGGAGTACAAGTAGTAAACCCTAACTAGGTTGTACCCCATATGGGCTACCCCACTACAGCCTAGACAATATGCAGCACATATAGTTTGACATAACCAAACCACAGGGCCAAATGCAGGGCATACCACAGGGCTGACCACACGGCTAAACACAGGGCTAAACACAGGGCTAATCTCAGGGCTCACCACGGCTAACTACAGGGCTATTTGCAGGGGTAACTACAGGGCTAACCGCAGGGCTAATTGCAGGCTAACCACAGGACTAACCACAGGGTTATTTGCAGGGGTAACTACAGGGCTAACCACGGGTCCAAACGCAGGAGTAACTACAGGGCTAATCATTGAGCTGGTGCCTCGTGCGTGACATGCTAATCCAAGGGCGTCTGCCTCGTGGTATGCTAATCACAGGGATGGTGCATGACATACTCATTCACAGGGTTTCATACGGTACCTAGACACAAACCACAGGCTTTTAGGATTTGAACATAATGTCCACAAGGCATGTGCATATGGGCACCATAGCCACAGGGTGTATGCAGTAGAGTACGCTAACCACAGGGCTTGTGCATCAAAGCAGGTGTTTTACAAGGCAGTATCAAAACAAGCATGCATATCACATGGCTGCAAATCAAAGCAAGCATGCTCATCGCAGGGCTCTTGTTCACAACTTTCCAACCAGTACTTCAACCATCACTAACTTTACCAGAACAATTTGGCATGACGAGAGTGTACGTATTAGCACTAGATACCATGAACACCTCAAGCATCCACTGAGATATCTAGGTGTTGCTTCGGGGCCCGTAAGCTAGTATAATGTGTTTCACTTTGGTTGGGGGGGAAGCTCTTTAAAATCATTCGATTTACACAATTCACATCATTTTCTGTCATGAAGATTTGGAAGGTAGGCAACTGTAGAAAAGAAGCAAAAATTCCACAGACCAAGTGCCTAGTTTTTTATGGCTGCCCTATGCCTTTAATCATCTTGAATCTCTATTCCTTCGCGGCTTGGGCCTTTTGAGCCTTTTCCCGCTCCCGCTCCTCCTTCCTTGCCTTCTCTCTGCACATGACAGAGAATACACACACCGTGTAAGTTTGAAAATACTCCAGCGGGAGATGTTGCGGCACAAGCTCAAGACATGCATCCGGATTGACCAGCATTCTGAGCGCGCTCATCTGTTATTTCCACAAACGTCGCAGAGCATGAGACTACTTAAGGCTACAAGCTTTTTGACAGCGCATAACAGGAGGTAGGGCAAGGGGTGCAGGGACGAAGCAGGGTGAGAGCACACCTCTGTAGGAAGTCCTGCAGGAGCTCCTTGGCCTGGGTGAGCTTGCTGAGCAGCCCTCGGTACACATCCAAGTCCCGGTTCACACTCATCTGATTGATGCCCAACGCTTCACACAGCTGCAACGCAACACACAGCGGTATACAGCAACCAGCGTCACATGAGTATGTGGGCACACACAGGCCACATCGTACAAAGCACTCTTTATTATCGACACCATGTTAAACACGTGTGTACTGTGTGTCTCATGGATAAAGCATCTACCTTGAGGAATTTGAATGTGTGTGAGCAGGAGCGAGTGTGAGAGGGGGTGAGCGAGTATGAGTATGAGTGTCAGTGAGCGAATGTGTGAAAGAGTATGTGTTTGTGAAACTAGATGCATGTGAGAGCAGGTGCACGCGGGTAAGCGTGTTCTTTTGAAATAGCGACCGCGTGAGTTACAGCAAGAGCGAGAGCGAGTGTGTAAAGGGCCGTGTGAGAGAGCGAGTGTGTGACAGCAAGTGAGAAAAAAACGAGCACGTGCAACAGAGATAGTGTATGCGAGAGAGTGAGGATGTGGGAAGGAGAGAAACGAGGGGGAGAGGTGTGTGGCACCTTTTGGAGGGTGGCGGGTTCAGAGGACTTGGTGATCTCGAGCAGGCGGAACAGACCCACAGCAAAGAAGCGGCTGTAGTGGAAGGTACCAGCCTTGGCACGCTCCGCAATGTCCTAAAGTGATTCGATGGGGGAGAGGAGAAAAAAGCGAGGGGTAAAGCCTTCCATCAGAACTAGGCAGCATGAAGCAGACGCTTGCGCATGCTCAAGCTCGTCTTAAGATCTGGCTTAAACCAAGAAATCGTACGCATGTCGCGAGCTGCAGTGTTCGATCCTAACTCATCTTCTCACATGGTGAGCGTGCAGACCCTGTTCCTTCATTTGAAGCAACGCAGCTGTCACATACAGTAAAACGTCGAATCGCTCTTGCTACACTTGCGGTTTGTACACTCTGAACCCCCAGCAACACCTAACCCCCCTCCTTCCTCCCTGCTTCACCCCTCAACCCCTCTCTTCCCGGCGTGCGCGCGACTCACCTTGAGGCTGCGCTCCACGTCGCCGTCCCTGTTGTTGATGTCAATTAGATCGTCCGCCGTCAGCCCCGCCGCCCACTGCTCGAGGCGCGCTGCGTCGTCGCGGTACGTCTTAGGACTCTCATTCAAGGCCTCTGCGCGGGGGGCAAGCACACGACGGCACGCAAAGTTCTCGAAGGGAACATGAGGCACGTTCATGGGCCTTGCCCGCGCACACCACGCTTCGCTCACCCGCGAGCTGCCCCTCATTCGAGCATGCTTTGACCTGGTAAGCGAGAAAAGCGCGGCTAAAGAAGAGGAGACACGTGAATCTGCGCGCGTACCGACGTAGGCCTTGAAGATGGCGTCGCGCTCCGCTGGCGAGGGGTAACCATCCATGAGTTGGTCGAAGACCGTGACGAAGCCGAGCGCCAAGACCGGGTCGTACTTGTACGTGCGGTTGTAGCGCGTAAGGTGCTGCTGCACGAGAATCTCCTGAATCACACTGGCCGAGCCGATGAAAACAAACGATAGAACAAGAAATCAATTAGCTGAACAAGTGTGTCGCGAACTCGAACGTGACTCCGCAGTCAGCGCTCGAACATGACGGCAATGCCAACGGCAACGACCAACAAGCGGTGTATTGCAGCTAAAAAACACCTCTCATTTCAATTCCCAACCCATACGATTGTACCTACCCGCCAGCGATTTTCCGGAGAATATGCAGGTTGAGGCGATTATCAGACAACACAAGACGGTATACTCACGTATTGTAGATGCTGGGAATGGGCTTGGGGTACGCCTTGAGGAAAGCAGCCTTGGTGTCCGCCACGACAGGGGGATCTGCAACGGTAATATTAAGCACGCAATTTGAGAATTCATGAGTGTTATGACACCGTATGGCGCACTGTATCGCTGCCCTGCATCCGACCCCGTCAGCTGATGCGACAGAATTGGAGGCTTGAGATCACAGAAATGCTAAATGGTTAACCCACGCATCAAGGTGACACAGCTGACCTTGAAAGAGCAACCAACCCAACCGTAACTGCTGAATCTACTTCGGAACAAATGTTCACAACTCAAACTACGGGATACTGCTGCAAAAACGCACCGTGAATGGCTTTCTGAGCACATTGCACGACAGAGTGTCGACGCGACACAGCTGTTGCAGACTGACGAACCAGAAACCGCTGAGCACTGGGAAGCGATGCCCGGGACGAGGCAAGCGACTTGGCTTCCAAGTTTGAAGCATAGAGACCGTCAACACGGGCAAGAGCAATGGACGACGACGTGGTGGCGGCCATTGTCGCTAGAATTTGGAACTCAGCTGGCTTAGGCTTAGCTGAGGGAGAGAGCTCAGGATAGCAATTCAATGAGGTGCAGAATGCAATGTTGAACAGAACTGGCAGGCTTTCAGCAAGACAGGAGTTGCCAACGGCGCATGGCCAGCTTCAACTGCCTCGACTCGACCCTTCGGAGAGATCGAAGGAAAGTGAGGGCATTTGCCCGTGGAGCGTCCCGATTCTTCCACCCGCTTTTGAGTACACGTGGGCTCACAATAGCGATAGCTTCTTCGAAGTTGACGTGGACAAGCCAATGGGAGGCCCAAGGGAAATGAATATGCGTGGACACAACGACTCCACGGAACTCATCGTTACACCGATAATAACAGCAAGATTTTACATCAATCCATTTTCAATGAAAGCTAAGGGTGGGTTTCTTTATTCAGAACTTAGCGTTCTCTTACAGTGAGGGTACTGTCCTTCATCAGATAAGTCCATGTGGGCCTGGGTCAATACTTTAGAGCCTCAAACATTCAAACACAAGCACACCCCTCCATAAATGACAATTGCATCGTGCAGCGCAATCATTGAACTTCACCGAGCACACTTTTATCACTCTTAATTAAACTGGTAATTGAAAGCCCTGAACCGAGACCATTCATCGCAAGTTAAAGAGGATTATGTTGAATTGGGTCATGACTCGTGAGAGTAATGAAACCTGATCCATATCATATTCAATAAGTGAACAGATTGTACTTGTAACGAGTAGTAACGACAGAATGTGCCCTGGCTATGGCTGGTTGCAATTAAGACGTGTGAAGCCCTCTGTACCTCAGCCCATTCACTGCTTACTGGATGAATGGATGAAGCTCTCAGGAATATGCTTGCGTGGCATGCCCCAACTGGCTTCTCCCTGTCACATTCATTTCCCGCCTCTCGTCCCCTCCGTGCTTGAACCACCACCTACCCTGCGCCTTGCTGGGAGCCTCGCCTCGAGCACATCCCCGCTCTCCCTGTCGCGTCACTCTCATTTCTCTGCCCAAACCCCTTTCTTTCCAAAACTTCGAGCTAGTTTCGAAGTTCGGCTGGTCAGCTGTCAAGGTTTGAGGACTTCGTCAACATGACCGTTGACCTTGAGTTTCGTTTGCAAGCCAGAACTATCCTGATCTCACCACACCAAGCCCTGTGCGATAGCGGTGGCTCGGTCCGCATGTTTAGCGCAGGCGGGCCTGGATCCACTCCCACACACAGCGGCGACAGCGAGCCGTCGCTGCAATCCGTCACGCCGTCGTCATCGACGTCGGAGTTCTGCGGCTCGTCAGACGAAGTGGACGAGCAGGGCTCGTCCGCGCCAGTGGCTCATGCCGTGTCGCAGCTGCTGGAGGCGCTCGGGGAGGATCCGTGCCGCCACGGCCTCGTCAAGACGCCTCAACGCGTCGCTAGAGCCATGGATGCCGCAACTCAAGGTAGATTTTGGTGCTTAGGGCTCACAGATCGGGTGGATCAGAGCACTTGACGTCGCTACTTGTCCTGCCTGCTCCACAGCTACGTAAATTCAAAGTCCAAATGTGTAGCGAATCTTCCTTTTTAGGGTGTCAATTTGTTCCTCGGTAGTTGCATCAGCGTAGATCAAGCTTATGCAGTCTGTTTTTGTATGATATAATTCTCTTTCGCCCGCCAATGATATTTCCTCTCTTCGCGCTGCTTTTTCCCTCACCCGCATTTGATTATTCTTGCGTTCTCCACCCTACACCCCCACCCCCCCACACCCCCTCCCTCCCTCCCTCCCCCCTCCCTCCCTCCCTCCCTCCCTCCCTCCCTCCCTCCCTCCCTCCCTCCCTCCCTCCCTCCCTCCCTCCCTCCCTCCCTCCCTCCCTCCCTCCCTCCCTCCCTCCCTCTCCCTCTCCCTCTCCCTCCTTTCCCCCCGTCCCTCCCTTCCCGTCACTTACTCATCGTCTTCTCTTCCTCCACTCCTGGTGTATTGGCCGTCATCGTGTCCCCCGTCTCCTGCATCCGGCTCCCCCCCGCGCAGGCTACAACCATGGCGCAGCGCGCATAATCCTCTCAGCAATATTCTCCGAATGCCCGGCAGTCGGCAATTCCGCACAAGGGGGCGGTGCAGGGGGGTTGGTTCTGGTGCGGGGCATTGACACTTTTGCCCTGTGCCAAGGCTGTTTGCTCCCGTTGCGACTGCGCTGCCACGTGGCGTACGTTCCGCACAGCCATCGGGTGGTGGGTCTCAGCAAGTTACCACGCGCAGCCGTGGCTCTCTCGCGTCGCCGCGTGTGCGCGCAGTCCCTGGCGCGCCTGCTGTGCCGCACAGTGGAGGAGGCGTTGGCGCCGCTGGGCGTGGCGGTGGTGGTGGAGGCATCGCACCTCGTTGGGCTTGAGGAGAGCGTCACTGCTGCCCCTGCCCGTGCGAACAACCCGGATTCGCTCACAAGTGTCGGCTCTCGCAATGAAGGAGCGGTTGGATGGGCACAGGAAGGCGAAGCGGGGCACGAGGTGGCGTGTGGCGCGGTGGGAGTGTTTTCGAAGCAGAGCGAGCTGGTGGAGGAGGTGCTGGCGCTGCTGCACTTGGACCCACATGCCGTCTCCCTCGCGCTCCTAGACGACGCTGACGCTAACGGGGGGCGTGTGAATCCGTCTGCAGTAGACGACCTTGTAAGAACCAACGGATCCGACGTGACCGAGTTGCCTGAGGACGCTGTTTGCCCTGCGCTAAGGCCACGCGCGTCAGGGAGGGCAGTGCAGGGCCGACCAGGGCACAGCATTTGTGGTGACTGCGACATGCGTGCGTGGCTGTCACGCTGTTTACCAAGGCCCGCTCTCAGCGGTGCAGGCAGCAATGCCCTGCAGAGGGCCATTCCAGACGTGCGGACTGCAGACGGGCTCCTTGCCTCGTGGCGCCTGCTGTGCCGGTGGCTGGGTGCGAGGGAAGAGAGGGGCGAGCAGCGGTGTGGTGAGAAGGTGCCACTGTCAGCGGCAATGCAGGCTGATGACGAGGGAGGATCATGCGAGCAGGTGCAGGCATGTGCGCATGTGGACCAACAGAAGCTGAGGGGCACAGCAGACGTGGAGACCGAGACGGAAGTTGATGAGGCGAGGGTACCATTGTCAGGCCTGTCCGTGTGTGTTGCCCGATACCTCCGCTATCTCTCTGCCGCCACATGTGGAACGCACCTCCATCTGCACGATGTTCTTGCTGTACCCCAGTCTGACTGCTGCCTGCGCCCTCCAAACAGAACACACGATGCTGCTTGCTCCGTACCTACAAACGAGGACAAATCAATAGCCTCACATGGTGTAGAGAGTATGGAGGGGAGGGGCGACCCAAGCACTCAGCCCGTGACAGCAGCAGTTGGCTGCAGAGGAGCGGGCGAAGGAGTGATGCCGGAAGCTGTGGTGCGCGGTGAGCAGAGCACTTATGAAGTTGATGGTCTGCATGTAACGCCTGGGACTGATATGCCACCCAGGGCAGTTGGGGGCGTGCACACTGCTTGCAGGCTCACAGACATTTCCATGGAGACGCACCTGGCTGTGCCTTTCTCATCTCTCTGTGAACACCACCTGCTGCCTTTCTTTGGGGTTGTCCACGTGGCACTTTGCCATTCACAAGTCTGTGCAACTACTACTGCGTCCCCGGGCACTGCAGCCGCTTCTGAGCCAGTGCCCCCCCTTCTGTCAGGGGAGGCACTGCCTGCTATCTGCTGGCTCTACGGCCGCCGATTACAGGTTCAGGAGCGCTTCACCCGGCAGGTGGCAGAAGCAGTCATGGAAGCATGTGGTGGGCAGGCCGAGGGGGTGATGGTGGTGGTGGAGGCACACCACATGTGCATGATTGTCAGGGGGGTGGAGAAAACGGCCACCACCACATCGACTGTTGCTACATTTGGCACCTTCTCCTTGTTTCCACGCATGAGAGCCAGGTTCCTTAGTACCCTGCCACGGGCAAGCCTACAGTGATGGTGAACATCTGCATTGCATGAATGAATTTTACACTCAGAGATCCCTTTCTATCCCAGCTTCACCTCTTTGAACCCTCTGGGGCTACACATGTGAATTCGTGCATGAACATATCTATGTTTGGGTATTATTATGAGTAGCCCCAATTTTTTTGTGGTTCCCCAGTCCCAAACAGGGCAAATTTTTGGATTTGACCAACCCTTGTGATCAGTGTACCACAAGCTGAAAAACCTGATTATCAGTGTGACCCCTTGTAAAAAAACTTTTCCATCAGGGTTTTCCAAGCTTTCAAAAAATCTACCCTGGCAAATGATGGCCCACTGTCTGCCACCACATGCGTTGTGAAGGCCGAAATTCCGGCTTTGATAGTTGCCTATCGGGATTCCCGGGTTTCGGGAAAGGGGGGGGGGGGGGGGGGGGGGGGGAAGGGTACTCGTTTAAGAGTAAAACTCGTCATGGGATTCGGGAACCCTTGGGCATCAGTGTATATCAAAACACTGGCACATCAGGGTAAACCTAACTCCCAAAAAAAATACCCTAGGCCATCAGTGTGACCACCAAAAACCACCCTGATTATCAGGGTATCAGGGTGATTTACACTGATAAAATTTGCCCTGGTCCCAAAGTTTCAGGAGGTTGAAGTCAGTGGCAGGCTCCCTGTGTTTATGGTCTTCATTCTAACGGAAACGTCTGATGGATTCCTGGAGCACCTCGATAAACAATAGCCAGGCTGCGTCTACCTACAATATAAGAAACATGGTATGCTCTAACTAATGTAGGTACGAAACGTTGCAAGCCAGCTTAGTGTATAGTATGATCACTTGATCATGCGATCTTGTATCCATGCCGAGGCTTTCTTACTGCCGTGCCACAGTGTACCAACAGGAGGGCTGCTGCCCCTGCACTAGGGTTTAGCATGTGCGGTGTTGGCTAGGTGCTGGGTTGATATCCGAAGGTTCCCCGCCTTCTATCATCAACATGCCACTTGTCAGCATTTCAGTGGCGTGGTGTTGAAATGGCTTCGATTATGCTTCGATTGACGATGACAGCTCCTTCATGCGGAACCAGCGTTTTCGCAATTCTGAACGTGAAGCCAGCCATTGTTCGCCAAACACTCTCGTCCACACTTTACACGGTTCTCGTGCACTGGCGATCTGAGAAATCGTTCACTTACTGGTTACTTGGTCAGCACCACAACTGCTTGAGCTTCCCTTATTCAAACTTCAGGAATAACAATAGCACGAGCCACTTCTCCTCCTCAGTCTGCCCACGTTGCTGAGCGTGATTCTGTCGCTCGCATCCTATCCTTCGTTGCTACTGCTATTTTCTGACGATGTCTGAATCAAGCGACAAGGCATCTGCAGGTGCGTAGTTTCGTTATCTTAGTGCCTTGATACTGCATATGAAGCGTAGTGCGCGTTTCCTTACTACTTTATGCTGTCTTGTGGAATCACAGTCACCACGGAGGCTGCCCCTGATACGAAGGCGGAGTCGACTTCCAGCGATGCGACTGCTGCTGGATCGGAGGCGAAGTCTGCCGCTCCTGGCGGTCCACCCAACGCCTTCGACTTCTCCAGCCTCGCTGGAGTTCTCAATGTTAGTTAGGCAATTTCCTCAAGCAGAGCCACATGCCCGATCATATGTCCGCTTAGTTCTTCCTTTCGAGGTAGTGGCTATGTTATGATCTTACACCGGTCTCTTGATTTTGTCTATGCATACAGGACCCATCTATCAAGGAGATGGCAGAGCAGATTGCTAAGGATCCATCCTTCTCTCAGATGACACAAGAGCTCCAAGGGAGCGTGAAAGTTGGGAGTGATGGCGCGCCCCAACTTGATCCTCAGCAATACATGAAGGCAAGCTTCTAAACCCTGGCACCTAGTCACTTCTCTCCTGCGTGCACCACATGTTCAAATGCATTTTTGTATCATTTGTTCACAATTTATTATTTATATTTCTGCAGGCGATGCAACAAGTGATGTCGAACCCAAGCTTCATGACAATCGCGGAGAAGTTCGGGAACGCACTGATGCAGGTTTGTGCTCTTGACTTTCATTTGTGTGATTTTATTATTGTTTGTTATTCTCGTAATTGTTTAACGAGGCACAATAAACGGCCTATCTATTGCGTATTTATGTCGTACGGGTGCGTAACTTGCGGAACATCAGATAATTGAGAAACTGCCTTGTTTGCTGCTGGGTTTACATTGTGTCCGCAGGATCCTCAAATGATGACCATGATGCAGACTCTTCAGAACCCGTCGTATCGTGATCAGATGCAGCAGCGAGTAGCTGCCATTAAGGAGGATCCTTCTTTGAAGTCGGTCCTGGAAGAGCTCGAGACTGGGGGGCCTGCAGCAATGATGAAGTATGTTTTCAATACGAAGTCCTCGTATGTGACGGAACGGCACGAGGTTTCGTTCTCAAGATGTTCTTTTTGGCTGCTCTTATACTTGCCTGGGTTCGCAGGTACTGGAACGATCCGGAGGTTCTGAGCAAGCTTGGCAAGGCCATGGGCGGTGCGTTCCCTATCCCTCCCCACATGGCTGCAGCAGCTGGTGCCTCCGGCGAGGAAGATGCTGCAGAAGAGGGGGCAGAGGGAGAGGAGGAATCTCCTTCACTTCACTCCGCAGCCAGCAACGGCGACGCAGAGGTATTTCTCTTTTCCTGTACCCCCTTCGGCGTGCGTGCGCTGTGGAAAGATGCTAAAGAACCCATGGATGCCTTGTATTTATCACGGAATGAACATGGATACGTATGTACTTGAGGTGCTGAAGGCATGTCTTACGAATCCCCGGTACCTTTCTCTGTTGGTCATAACTGGATAGGCTGGGAACGTTGTTATAAGCTGGCATGCGGCGTATGACGGACGGTCGCTTTTACATGAATTAGCCGAACCATTGCATGATGATTCCATTATGTGTTGGTCCGTGTTGGCTGGTTGGTTCCACAGGAGCTCAAGCGGCTGATTGCAGAAGGGGCGGACAAGAACGAGAAGGATGGTGAGGGAAGGACAGCCCTCCATTTTGCGAGTGGATATGGCGAGGTACGTGGAACAAATTGCGCTTACAATTTTTGCCAGTCCAAGCTACGCCACGCTTTACTTACATGTTTTTTTTTAATCTGGACAGGTGAAGTGTGCGGAGGTTCTTCTTGATGCTGGTGCTGATGTCGACTCGTTGGACAAGAACAAGAACACACCTCTGCATTATTCAGCAGGTTATGGGCGCAAGGAGGTTGTGGAGCTGCTGGTGAAGAGTGGTGCTGCAGTGTGAGTAATCAATATGGTCTCAAAAGCCCACTTTCACCATGTCACTGGCACACTTCCATGACATCCAGACTCTTACGACGTTATCTGTTTTTCTTGTGTTTCCTCTCCCTCTACTTTTGATAACTGGTGGCAGCACGCTGAGGAACTTGGATGGCAAGACAGCAGCAGATGTGGCCAAGTTGAACAGCCAGAAGGAGGTGGTAGCGCTCTTGGAGAAAGATGCATTTTTGTGAGCTGATATGTTCGGATTTGGTGGTGGTTGTGTGGCCGTTGAATCTCTGAATGGCGTCATGTGTTAGTGGTTATATAGTCAACTCTGAAGATAGAGCTGAAGTGAGGTAGTCACCATGTTATGGAGTGATGCAGAATCACCAGCTTGAGTGAAGTTTCTGGTTTCTTGGCTGGCACTACTGGTATTGATGATTCTTTTCTGGTATGTGAAAACAGTGGAACAATTTGTCTACACCTGCTGTTCAAGGTGGATGAAAAATCGGTGTCATAATACCACAGGTCTGGTTCACGTGGTGCTACACCACATGGTTCTAGCAAGCCTGGAATTACGTATGCTAGATATGACATTTTTCCACAGTTTGACTAACAGTAACTCAAGCCGTTCCTCTAGATACTCCAAGAAACTTCATTAAAAGACACGTTTGATAAGGATGGAAACAGGGAGTAGTCAACCCATGGAGGGAAAGTAGGGCTGGCCAGATATGCTACCAGGGAACTAGATATACAGTTGCTATAAGCCCTTGACGCTTCAGCTTAGCAGAGCCTTCTCAATTGTCTCTTTAAGCTCCCCACTTTGAAAACCCTCTGCACAAAACGTGACGAGAGAAATACAACACGTCATGAAGACCTGTCAAAGTATGCACACAGTATTTAAAGGGGCCAAGAACTTAACGGAAACCTGCACCTTTACGCTTGACTCACAATGTAGACGAGCGCAGACCTCAGAAAATACAAATTCAACAGCTTGGCAGAACAGGACTCACATCGCTCAAATTCCTGCCCTCTTCTTACCGATAGTAATGTCACATCCGCCATAAAACTCCCCATCGATGTATAGCTGGGGAAAAGTAGGCCAGCTGCTGTACTCCTTCATGCCCTGTCGCAGCCTCTCATCCTCGAGAATGTTAACTGTCTCGAATGGCACGTTTAGCGTGCTAAGAATTTGCACGCAGGTGTTGGAGAAGCCGCACTGCGGAAACTGCTTGGTGCCCTTCATAAAGAGGATAACTTTGTTCTCAGCAATGAACTTATCTAGTGCCGCCTTCAACTCCGGCGTCAGAGCTGCAACGAAAAATGGGGAAGGGAATTAAGGAAAAGGAGGTGAGACGTGAGCCGCAGCAACGGCGTTGTTCGAAGTGTCATGAGAGAACGTGAATTGACGCTACTGTGTAAATTAAAGGTGATCCGTGAACACATGAAAACGATAAACTATCGGCATGCGAATGCTGTGGACTGGCGACATGGATCACAGCCACGCGACAGCCAGCGGATTTGCACCAAAGTTTTGTGGAACTGCTTGATCAATTGAGACTCTGTCCGCATGCTCTGACGAACTTGTACATGCTATCATTTTCGAAAGAAAGGTGGAAAATGACAAGGAGAATTTCGTAAGAAGTAGCACCTACCGCCAGAGCTGGGTGCGCCGAAGCTAGCCCGCACATCAAATCTCCTGTGTGGTGCCGCCACGACTGCTCGCGAAGCGCTGGCATGGCGGCGAGCCGGAAGCGGCGCGGCGATGAATGAAGTGGAGAGACGTGACGCGCTCCTAGCTGCCACAGGCGAGGTGCAACCCCGCGTGAGGTTCGCCGACACGGCAGGGGTGAAGGTTGCGGTAGCCATTTTGGGCAGCTAGGCAAAATTGCTAGGTTGCAGTGGATTGCTGGAAGTGCAGAGAGGGAGAAGAGAAGGGATGTGATTTGTGATTGCTGGAACTGGCTTGGGGGGGATTCGAAGTCAAAAGGCTGTGCTGACGTGGCTGCGTACAAGGAACATTCCGTAGAACTATACCTGACACGCGGCACTGTATCATTTGATACACCGACCGGTTTAGCCAGCTCGTGTATGGGCCAGCAGCCAGTGCAAGTTCAACCCTGGAGGCCCAAGGCACTATGGTACATGAACCTTGCTCCCAATTCAATGCACGAACGCCAAGAACATCTCACCTCCCCTCATCCAGGGATTGCAACCCTCATGCGGTGACATACTCAATAGGAGATTATTGAATGAGATACACACTCAATGCATAAATTTACTGCAATTATAAGAGTCAGAAATCCTCAATGCCATCATCATCATCATGTACGTTTTGGCCAGAACCAGCAACTTCTCTTATTGTGCTCCTCCCGAGAGATTCTTGCAGCGAGTTGCTAAGCAAACGTAACCGTGACATGCTGATGTCAGTTGCAATGTCAGCACTACTACCCCTTAAAGAGCCGAGTGGCAAGCTTTGGCTTGCTGCAAGAGTGAAGCATTCAGACCGCAACTCCAAAAGTGATGCCTAGGATTTGCATGGAACACAGAAAGGGGGGGAGGCATGATTTTGATAGAACAAACAAATTAATTGGTGAAATTTGTCAAAGTTAGACTGCAGATGCGTAGGAAAGGTCAAGAATGGGATAGAGACAGAGAAACAGCACGTGATGGTGTGACACACTCCTAAGGAAGCCGGTAAGGTTGCTGCGGCATAACTGTAAGTGACGAGAACACACATACCTTATTGCGCCGCACTTGTGCTTCATTGGCCCAAACAACTGGTGAGCGGAAGGCAAAGAACCTGCAGAAGATGGTACACACAGCCATGGTCTGAGCAAGAGGCTTGATTGCGAGCACCCTGAATGGAAACAGTTCAGCTTAGAACATTAACAAATTGCAACTTCTCAAAGGGATCAGCAACGCGGATCTTTCTTTACCCCCGCGCTTAACCCCATTCCCCCCTCCCAGACGCCATGGTCTCACCGCTTAGGAGCAGGCTGAGTGTTCCAGAACATGACTCCCCTCGCTGCCACTGACGCTGCTGCTGCTGCGCGCACTGCTGCAGGTGACAAATCCTCATCCCCCCCACCCGTGCCATCTGCTGCCATGCTGCTGCTACCAGACCACGAGGAGAGGTGCGAGGAGGAGGAGGAGGAGAGGAGCGTAAGGGCGTCACTGAGGGCAGCAGATGCACCTACGGCAGCCTCCAAGCCGTCAGCCGGATGCAGCATGTCCAACACTGAGGGCTCATTCCACAGGGCGTGGGGGAGGTGTGCAAACATGTAAGGATAGTGGGAGGGGAGGCGGATGAAGCGAGCACAAGAATGAATGGAAGTACCGATTGCAGACTGTTGTGAAAGGAAGGAGGAGAAGGAAGAAAGAACGGGAGGTGGTTGCGGTTGTAGGGATGGAGTTAGCAGTGCAAGAGTACTTTCAAGATCTGGAGTTATGTGCCATGTCTAACAGCCATGGCACACCCCGGCGGTGACTCACTGTTCTCATGCAGGTAGCAGCAGAGCTTGAGCGGGGTGAGCTGGGCGCGCTGAATGATCACCTCAGCTGCCTCCATGTCCACTGCCGCTCGCTGCAACTCCTGCCGCACTGCCACTGCACTGCCTCCTCCCATCCGACCGCCAGCATTGCGAGCAGATGGTTCAGGGCCATGAGCGCACTGCTGGGAGCTGGGTTGCGCCCACTGCTGCCACCTGAGTGGATTCGCCACCCACTCATGCTCACTCCGCTCCCCCGCTGCTGGCATGTGCTGAGCTGAAATGGGCACATGGCACACACACACGTGACATCCCAGAGAGGTGTTTGGGGTGGAAGAGGGGAGGCAGGGTTGGGACCAGGCAAACAAAATTTATCTGCAAATGAGCAGAAATCAAGGTCCTGTCAGCAAAACGAATTTCAGTTGTGGCATAGGTTTTACATAAGAATGAGGGACAAACACCACAACTAGCTAAATGAGACAAACAGGGACTAAGACGAGACTTCAATTGTATCTTGCAGAAGTCATTGAAACAGCGTGCAGGTGTGCAGGCAGGCGGCCTCACCTGCAGGGAGGCGCTTATTGTGCAGAAACTTGCCCACCGCATGGAAGAGAGACAGCGGGTCGTCACGACCCGCACCCATCACTGAATCCTCTGCACCTCCGCTGCTCCTCCCTGCACCAGAAGTAGCAGCACCAGCACTCCCACGCCCCAACACTCCTCCTTTGTCTCCGCCACCCTCCTCTCCTACACCACTTGACTCGCAACATGTTAGATCCACCAACTCAGTTGAGCCTCCCCCGCCTGCTACCACTGCCTGCACTTTCCTCTTCTTCCTCCTCTTCCCCCCTTCCTCCTTCTGCTCTGTACCTCCCCCACTACCCCCCTTCCCCACACCGCCCCCAACACCCCCAGGGTCCCACGTGTGGCAGGGGGAGTGGCGGGTGGAGAGGGAGAGCAGCTGTAGCTGGGAGATGGCGTGGCGCAGGTCCCCCGCACTGCTGTCCGCCACAGCCGCTACAGCCGGGGCCGCAAGCGGTGACCAAGCTGCCGCTGCTACAGCCGCCAGTGCCTTGTGCATGGCACCCGGTGCTATGGGGTTGAACTCCACCTGATGCCCCCATGGCAGTCACACACACACACACAGGGGGTGCATGCATGGGCACAGGGAGGGAGGGATGCAATGCCAGGCACAGGAAAGAATATTTGCAGAACTAGGCGAGGAAAAAGCGACGCTGGAAGCTGGGAGAACAATCTTGACATTTGCGGAACTCTGGAGGGTGTTGGATAAGGGCATGCCAACAAATTGGAAGAGAACTGGTGTGTGGGCGTGTCTGTAGACATGTGAGCGCTGACCATTGCAGCAACACCACGTGTGTCCATAACTTGTTACACACACTCCATGTGCTCCGCACATGCCAAACCCACCTTGTGAGCGCCGCCACTCATCAATGCATCCAGCACATCCCGCGTTGGCACCCCATCCGCTTGCCTCCACTCGCCCCTCACCCCTCCACGTGCACCGCCATGAGCAGAGGTGCTGGCAGCCGTGGTGGAGGCGGTGGGGAGGGAGAGCACCACGACGGCAGGCACATGTGAGGCCGCGGCCAGCGAGTGCATGGCGTGGCACAGCGCGTCACAGCGCTGCCGCCCCGACACGTACGGCAGGTCGTCTATCAGCAGCACATGGCGTGGAGGCACGGCGGGCGAGGGCGAGGCGGGTGGTGATAACGGTGCTGGTAGAGGTGGCGGTGATGGCGGGAGCAGAGGGGATGATGGGATTGGAGATGCTGCCGCATGCCGCCCTCTCGCCACGGCCCCTTGCGAGCCGCCTTCCTGACTTCCACGCCTTGCTACCTGCTTTTTTTCCTTGGCATCGCTCAAAGCACCATCACCGTCACCATCAGCACCAACAGCTTCACGGAATGTTGGTAGCCACTCCTCATCATCCCCATCCCCATCACCATCACCATCACCATCGTCACCCGTCTCACCATCACACTCCCATGACTCAACACTGTTGCTCCTCCTCCCCACCTTATCCCCCTCCATCCCCTTCCTCCCAGCAGCTTTCCCTGTCTCACGCCCAGTCGTTTCCCCTCTCCGCCCCTCTCTCACTCCCTCTGACCGCTGCACAACCCCTCTCCCATGACTCTTCTTCTGCCCTCTCTCTGCTGCTGAAACAGACAACGAAGCCTTACTCCGCTTGCCAGACAAAGGGGGGCGAGAAGGGGGAGGCAGCGTGGAGGGCAGGCGATGGGTGCTGGGAGAAGGGGTGGGTGGGGGCGAGCGAGCAGACGGTTGCGATGCGTGCGGTGCCTGGGGTGGGGCGAGAGTGGGCGCGGGAGTGGCAGTGGAAGTAGCTGTGGGAGTGGTGGCGAGGGCGAGCGGCGAGAAGAGGCGAGAGGAGCGGATGAAGTCAGAGAAGCTGGCGAGCTTCTCCTGGTGCTCCACGCCTGTGGGGCAGGGGTCACACGACAGCACACGACCACACGGCAGTGACGAGGGAGCGCACTTCTCGTGAGCAGCACGGAGAGGTGGGTGACAAAGGGCACAAACACCCCTGCACTGCAACCCCTTTATAAGCTACTGCTGCTGCTGCTGCGCTGAGAGGTGTAAAGAGGCACATGGGGGGCAAAGGGCGGCGTACCAGCAGCAGCCTGCGAGGAGCGGATGTGGCGGCGGTCATCCCACAGCAGCGGCACGGGCGCCTGCCAGTCCTGCACCGTCACTCCCCGCGCTGCTGCCACCACGTGCACCAGCGCCTGCATGCACACACACGCACAGCAGCACGGCCCGTGGGATATACACGAGGGTCATGCGTGCTCGTGCGTGTGAACAACCTTACAATACGCCAGCTGTTGTGGCAGAGGAAAGGAACAACGGGGTTTGGATAGAGCGAGCAAGAGGGAGAGAGGGGAGAGATGGGGAAGAGGGGATGGCAGGGAGGAGCATGGAGAGGACTCACCGTCTTTCCACATCCTGGGGGTCCCACCAGCGCAAGCACCTTGCTGGGCTGCTGCGATGAGCTCCCCTGCACACATCATCCACACATGCATCATGGCAACACATGCACGCCCACACACCATGTGCGTCAGGAAGGGTTGCGGAAAGGTTGAGAGCGGTATCAGAGTGCAACACCTAAGAGCATGGCATACTGGCAGAGCGGCCAGAGGCCGCACAGCCCAGCAGCAAGCAGCAAGCAGTTGTTCACGAAAGACAAGCGGCATACAAGGAGCACGTGGGAAGATGTGTTGCCGTACCTTTCCACTGGCACTGCCCATGCGCTCCCCTCCCGCCGCCTTGGGCTTGCCGCCTTTTCCCTTGCTGTGCTGCACCGGCCTGTGCGTGACAGGCGGGCCGAAGTGCGCGTCGAACCACTGCGCCACCTCCTGCACCTGGTGGCGGCCATGCGCGCCATGGGGTTGAGTTAGGGCAAACTTGATCAGTGTGGAGCGAATGAAGTGCATGGCATTCATAGTTAAAAGGCAAAATCGTATGCTTGGGCACAAGAAATGACCTACACTCGCATTGCCAGAACCGGGTAAACATGAATCGTTTTCTGATGCTCACTGAGAGCCTGATCTGGCTAGTAGGGAAGTAAACTTGGCTTGACTGCTTCCAAGGCTGCAGTTTGCTTCCATTACTTTCGCTGTCTGTTGGATAATGCTCAACACAGAAGACACAGAGCAAGCACGGCGCCGCGCACCTTCTTGCGGTGCACGGCCAGATCGCCCTCCCACTTGGGCGCGAATCGATCCACCCACAGCCCCGCGCCCTCTCCGCCCTCGCCATCCCCGCTGTTAGGTGTCACGTCACCACTGGCACAGCTCGGGTCGCCAGTGCGTGGCAAGGCGCCGGGAAGCGGGACGGCTTCGGAACGCGACTTGCGATTAGGAATGCGCCAAGCTTGGGTGGAGTTGAAACTCGTGGACTGACTGGCGCTCACCGGGTCGTCTAAATCCACCAGATCGAACGATAGCTTCTGCTGCTGGAACGGCTTCCCTCCCTTGTCGACCTTGCTGCTTGACTCGCGCGTCCGAGAATCTCTCGCCTCGCTCGATGCACCACCCCCCTTCTTTCTCTTGCTCCTCATGCCGGCTAGATTCTAACCACCGTATGGCATCGGCTAGAAATATGTCTTGGCTGTGTGGCATCCGTAAGGTAAACACTGGAACATTATGAAATGGTTTCGTCTGGACGAGGACGGACGACATATACCTATTACCCTACAAAAGTCCGCACGACGGGTCCGCCCGGATGAAGCTATTCCATGTTCCACACCACTCCATTGCTTCGCAGCTGATCCAAGGATGAGCATTTGTGTCTGCCAGACAGATGGTGCAAGCTGCGACCTTCAGAACACACACCTTTTGACCCTTCAGTGCAATCCTCGCTTCCCTCGTTCAATTGCACATGAAACATGTACTCCTATCCTGTATCTTGGGTGGGACCAATCTCACAATTGCAAATTACAAAGCTGAGTGGTCAGCGTAGTCTAAAAAAACACTGAAAATTCAGATAGGTAGCTACAAAGATCAGCTAGAAACACTGAAAACACTGATAGATCAGCTAGACCCAGTCAAAAATAGCTGCAGAATCAGCCTCCCCACACACAAAAAAAAAAGACTGAAAAAGGGCAGAATCAGCGAAAAAAGGCTGCAATCTGAGGGATGCACTGGCATGGGCACCCCAGATTGGTGCACAGAGCTGTACGAACATCTAGCTTCACTTCCCAGCGTAGAGTGGGTCAACTCTGCACCTGCAGAGAGATGAGGTCGAGCTTAGCGGGGCGCTTGTAGCGCTGCAGGAGCAGGGAGGAGCACACCACACTGACGGATGACAGGGCCATGGAAGCACCGGCGATCCAGGGGGGCAGGAGGATGTGGAACCTGGGGTAGAGCACTCCAGCAGCAATGGGGATACCCAACACGTTGTAACCCAGCGCCCACACGTAGTTGAACCGTATGCGATTCAGCGTCGTGCGTGCCAGATCAACGGCTGTGATCACATCCTCCAGGGACGAGCGCATGAGCACCACGTCAGCTGCTTCTATCGCGATATCTGTACCGGCGCCTATAGCAATGCCCACATCAGCTGCGACGAGCGCGGGGGAGTCATTGACCCCGTCGCCCACCATGGCCACCTGCTGCCCCTCCGCCTGCCTGTGCCGCACATACTCCGCCTTGTGCTGTGGCACCGCCTCCGCCACCACATCGCTCTCCGCTATCCCCACGGCGCGCGCGACTGCTTTAGCGGCGCCCCAGTTGTCCCCGGTGACGAGCACGGGGTGCATGCCCATGGCCTTGAGCAGAGCCACCACGGGCGCTGCCTCAGGCTTCACCGGGTCTGCCACCGCCACGCCCGCCACCACCTGCCCGTCCAACGCCACCAGGATGCCTGTCTGCGCCTCTGCCTGCACCTCCTCCAACCAGCGCTCCGCCTGTGGTGCCACGGGCAGCAGCGCCGTGCTGGGAGGAGCGGTGGAGGAAGGCTCAGATGAGGGGTCGATGGCAGGAGGATCCCTCATCAGCTTTAAGTTGCCCACTGCCACGTGGCGGCCACTGATTTGGCAGACGATTCCGTAGCCTGGGATGGAGTGGAAGGAGTCGACTGGAGGAAGTGACGAAAGGTCCCCTCTGCTGCTGCCTTTGGTAGCATTGTGAGCAGGGGCAGCAGTGGCCAGGCCAGAGGAGAGGCCGCATTGATCAACAGCAGCTTCAGGATGAGAGGAAAGGGGGAGAGGAGGTGGGGACGGGGGAGGCGAGGGTGAGCGGGAACGAGGCAGCGAGGGTGGAGAGTCACTGGAAGAGGAGGTGGATGAGGTGGCAGAGGCAGAGGCAGAGGGGGAGAGAGGGAGGGGCGGGAGTGGGATGTGGGAGAGGGATGGGAGCGAGGAGGGGAGGAGGGGCGAGTGCAAGCAATAGTCGGTGATGGCCTTGGCTAACGGGTGCTCGCTGTTGGCCTGCTCACACATGGGTGCGGGTAAGGGAAAACAGTGCAGGGGGTGGGTGGGTGGGTGGGTGGGTGGGTGAGAGCAGGATGACACATGCATGGACGAAGAGAGGGGTGGAGGGAAGAGGGACACGTGAGGTAGGCAAATGAGGTGGATGGGTGCGTGAGAGCACGACGAGACATGAAAAACCGCACACCTCAGCAGCAGCGAGCAGCGCGAGCAGGTCGGGCATGGCGAGGCGCGAGGTGAAGAGCGCCGTGGTCATAACGCTGGGATTGCCCTGTGTGAGCGTGCCCGTCTTGTCAAACACCACCGCCTCTATCTGTTGCCGTGGGCACACGGACACATGCAGGGACAGGGAGACAGGACGTTGAATAAATTGTATGGGCACACAACAGCAGTGAAAGCACAGAGGAGCAAAGCGACTTGCCAAATCCCGTCCGGTTTGTTTGCGCTGAAAGGCACAGCCCACAGTGATGTTGGCATCAGCACGTCCACACAGTCATTCTGCATGCCCGCCACACAGGGCGGCAGGCCCCACCTTGTGCGCCCTCTCGAGAGCATCGGCGCCCTTGATGAGAATGCCCTGCTGCGCGCCCACCCCCGTGGCCACCATGACTGCTGTGGGCGTGGCGAGACCCAACGCGCACGGGCATGCGATGACCAGCACTGCGATGCCAAACTGCAGAGCCAGCTCGAACTCCGACATGTGCTCTGGCACCTTGTTCTTAGGGAAGATCTCCGTTTTCATCGCTATGAGCCATGCGAGGAACACCACGAGCGCCAGCAGCACGACCTGAGAGGAGGAGAGAGGGGGTAAGGGGAGGGGGGAGAGGGGGGAGGGAGGGAGGGAGGGAGGGAGGGAGGGAGGGAGGGAGGGAGGGAGGGAGGGAGGGAGGGAGGGAGGGAGGGAGGGAGGGAGGGAGGGAGGGAGGGAGGGAGGGAGGGAGGGAGGGAGGGAGGGAGGGAGGGAGGGAGGGAGGGAGGGAGGGAGGGAGGGAGGGAGGGAGGGAGGGAGGGAGGGAGGGAGGGAGGGAGGGAGGGAGGGAGGGAGGGAGGGAGGGAGGGAGGGAGGGAGGGAGGGAGGGAGGGAGAGAGGGAGGGAGAAGTAGAGGTAGGGAGATGGGACAAGAGCAGCGGAGGCGACGAGAGGAGAGGAGAGGAAAGAGCTGTGATGAGGAGGCAATAGCATAGACAACGGGTGGCTGTATGTTCGGTCACGATAGCCTACTCGGAAAAACATTCCACGACACACAACAAAACCATCCCTCCCCACTCACAGTGGGCACAAAGACGGCGGAGATCTGGTCCGCCATGCGCTGAATGGGCGCCTTCGCCATCTGCTCCGATTCCACCATCTTCACTATCTGCGCCAGCGTTGTCTCGCCGCCCACGCGTGTAGCACGCACGTGCACACTGCCGTCCAGGTTGAGCGTGCCGCCGATGACGTTGCTGCCCACGCCCTTGAGCACGGGGCGGGCCTCCCCCGTGACCATGCTCTCGTTGGCATAAGTGTGTCCCCACACCACCACGCCATCCACCGGCATCTTGCCGCCCGGCACCACCCGGATGATGTCCCCGCGCTGAATCAGCGCCGCCGCTATCTCCCGCTCGCCCACCACGCGCATCTCCTCCCCTTCTTCCTTCCCAGCCTCACCCATCAACCGCTCCTCCTCCCGCTCCGCGTTCCACTCGCCTCCTCCCACAGGGCTCCCTTCTGCCGGGCCAACCGCGCCCGCCTGCGCGGCCTTTTCCACGGAGAGCAGCACAGCAGTGGCAGGGGCGAGGTTGAGTAGCTTGCTGATGGCGTCACTCGTGCGGCCGCGTGCCACGGCCTCCAGGTACTTTCCCAGTATGATGAACGAGATCAGCATGGCGCTCGTCTCAAAGAAATCATCCCTCGTGCCTGTGGGAGCAGATGCAGGCGGAGGCGCAGCTGCAGAAGCAGGCGCAGACGCCTCCCAACCCCCCCCCATGACCTCCATGATTATGCGCGTCACCGCGCCACCGCCGCCGCTGATGTGCACAGCAAGAGCACTGGCAGCGCTCGTAGCAGCAGCAGCAACAGCGGTGGCGGCGGCGCTGGGAGGCGGCCCGGCGGGGGATGGGGGGTCGGGGATGTGCATGGCAGCATAGATGAGGGCTGTGAGGGAGTAGAAGAAGGCGGCGTTGGTGCCGATGGCCACCAGCACGTCCATGTTGGCTGCTCGCCTCCTCAGCGCGTAGAATGCCCCCACGTAGAACCGCCACCCCACCACAAACTGCACTGGCGCTGTTAGCACCCCGCGCAGCAGCATGCCGATGTTCAGCCTGGGGGTGATGGGGGGACGGTGTGGAGAAAGAGAGGAGAAGGGGGGGGATGAGGTGAAAGGATGCGTCAACCAACCCTGGGACAGCACTGAGTGTGCTTGCGGGTAGTTTTAAAACTGCATCCAAACATTAACACGTCAATGCGAAAACAGAGAGGAGCGAGGGAGGGTGAATTGAAGTTTGTTATATATGATTTCTAGAGAGTGGTAGCTCACGAGTTGATGACGGGAGTCATGAGCCAGTCGTCGAAGGGCGGGATGTGGTTGAGCACCATGGCGAGCAGGAACACAGGCACCGTGAACACCAGGCTAGACACGAACAACCACCACAGCTTCCGCACCTCGCGCTCGCGCTCCTTCGCCCCCGCGCTCCCCCCGACCCCCCACTCGCTCTCCGCCAGCTCCACCTTCCCCACGCCGCCCACCCCCGCCACTTCCGCCTGCAGCGCCTCGAGAATGTCGCGCGCGCCCGTGCGGTCCGGGTCGAACGTCACCGCTGCCGTCTCGCTCTCCGCGCGCACTGCGGCGGCCGACACTCCTGGCAGCGAGCACAGCACCGCTTCTATGCGCGCGGGCAGCGGAAGCGGTGCCGCGCGCGCGAGGCCAGCTGCGATTCCGCGCGGCGATCTGTTCCATCCCACGGAGGATCGCGCGGGCAGTGCAGAGTCAGCAGCCGCGGCGGCGAGGCCGTGCAGGCGGTAGCGGAGAGTGTGCGCCTGAGGCGCGTCGGCGGAAGCGGCGGAGTCGTCGAGGAGATGCGCGGAGGGGAAGCCCGCGTGGTGCACGGCGGCAAGGAGATCGGCGGGGGAGAGCGCGGCGGAATCGAGGATGACGTGCGCCTCCGCCGTGGAGAGCGAGACGGTCGCGGATAACACGCCCGCATGGCCCTGCGCGCACACGAGAATGCGGGCGAAAACACGGGGAAGGTGAGGGAGAGGCAGCAAACAGAGAAATACCCTCTTCGAGAGGGCGAGGTGGGGAGCGACTTGCTCAAGCACGACGAGAGGAGTTGGGGAGGATCACGCGCAACGCCAGGATCAGGAAAAACCCCGGGCGAGGACATGAGGGAGGCGAGGGACCAAGCGAGAACGACGAGGAGAGCGACGCTGGCCCTTCAAAATATCAGGAGTGGGAATGCAAAGGGATTACATGGGAATTGCTCATCCTCACTACAACAAATAAATCAAACCATTTATAGTCTTTTGGAACGAAACAAAGAGCAGCACAGTAAAACAAATACGAAAAATACAACATAAAGCTTACTAAACGGGTATTGATGGTATTCAGTCTCAGACTCGTAGACGTTGTAATTTATGTTGGGAAATGTAACGATCAGTATCCTTTTATTTCAAGTCAACCTTGCAGAAATAACAACCATTATTACTTCACCTGGTCTGCTTACCACTCACAAAAAAAACAAACACCCAACAAGCAAATTAAATACTGTACGGGCGTGCAGTGCAACAGTGCGGGTCTTCTTCGTTCGTTTGAATGCGGCTTAATGAGATGTCCAAGTTCTATAACGGTCAAATCAATGTTCAGATTGGTTGGGATGGGTATTGAGCTAATATGAAATGAAAATGACGCGCCCATATTTAGCGAAAAATGTTACTGGCTACCTTGAATCGTAGCTCTCGTCAGTGGGTGTACAGATCGCCTGCGCAAAGCTGCCGAGAGATTGCGATTGGAAACGAGGCCGGAATGATCAATGTTGCACCACAAAATCAGTGTGAACTTTGTCGCACTCTCTGAAATGTCGCACTTCATTTCGTCCACCCTGTTCACTGAAGCTCGCCGCATCCCAAAATGCCTGAAGCTCGAATCCGAAAACCCGCGGCTTGGAAAACGATATCGGGATAACACAAACAGCGGACGACGCAAGCCAGGAATACGCCCTCATGTTAGGAGAAGGCGCCACGGCTAAAATGCTGGTGGTACTAATTACGGGACTCACCTGTAACATTTCCTCCAGATAGCCAGCGGAGCCGACGAGCAGCAGGTCGGGGATGCGCAGGCGGCAAGGGCGCGCCCCTCCCGCGGGATGAAGGGCGCCGGAGGCGGCGGAGAGCGGATCGTCCATGATGGTAGCGTCGAACCCAAAATCCTCCACCGCTGCCGCGATGTCGTTCGCCAGCCGTGCGCTCGCGCAGGGGCAAAGGAGCAGGAGGAGATGAGGGGTAAGGCGAGGGAATTAGGAATTAGCCATCATCAACATCCTTGCGCATCCGCGCAGCAGGGTTGGGGAAGCGCGACTCACGTTTGTCTTCATGTCGTTGAACGTCACTCGCGCGCGCCCGTTAACCACGGACACCACGGCCCGCGACACGCCGTCGACGCGCATCAGCGCCTTCTCGATGGACGCCGCGCACGCCGCGCACGTCATGCTGCCCACCGCCAGCTGCACCTCCGCCACCATGTTGCCCGACGCGCTGCCGCTACTCTTCTTCTGCGATGCTCCCTGCACCGTGCAGCAAGAGCGTGCGGGTATGACCTCCCGCTGCGGCGCGGCGGGACAGAGAATCCCTAGTATGATAAGTCGATTTTTGAGTTGACTCAAAAATCGTAACTCTGCTGCCGCTTGCATGCGGTTGTCGGAAGGGCGGTCCGCCAGACGAGAAGCCTTGAGCGCCGTGCGGATCCCGCAACCCCGAGTTGAGAAAATCGTGCGACCTTTTGGTAACTTGCACATGTGATGTGTGCGGGGCGCTTATCCAACAGTATTGGTGCCACCGGCAGAGGGACTTGCGACCTGATCTCGGCATTGCGTCAGCTGCTAAACGCCCCTAAAGTTTAATCTGTGGCGGTTCGAACAGGGTCGCGATTTGCGGCGGAGTGCAGCGAGGCTGAGCGGCTGGGATGAGCCGTAGAGGAGCCGCGACGGGAGATGGCGGCGCCGCGCCAAAGAATGCCACTCACATTATAATGATGTATCACATCATGTGATGCAGCGCGACGTGCGCTAGTGCGGTGAGAATAGACGAATTCGAGGGGCGAGAATTGAATGGAGGTAGAGACACACGAAGTGAACATACTACGCGCCTCGCGAGACACATTATATGCCGCATTATGCCCCTTTTTCATGTTGGGTCTAGGTTCTTTAATCAGAGTTGGTACATGAAAAAACAGCTGGAAAGGCAAACCTGAGATACGTAAAAAGGCATACAATTACTTACGGCCCCATTTTTCCCGTGGCGAACGTTAACGAGGTAGACGAAAAGCCTAGGCTCGTATCACACCATTTGGTAGGGCAAAGGCGGCATGGCAGAAACGCACATCCAGTGTGGCAGTAGTGAGAAGGAGCTCATTTCGGGCTTTCCATGGCCAGAAACAATCAACAAATTCCGTTCCGACAATGGCCTCGGCGAGTACAGTATTGACAAAGTCAGAAAGTGGAGTACACGACACAGACACATCACCCAGCCGACGACTTCCGCGATCCCCCAAGGGAAACATCGTCGCCAATCGACAACCTTCGCCAACATTCGCGGCCAGAGGATTTTAATAACCACATTTGAATCAAAATGCTGCCAGCTGGATCTCTTGAAGACATTCGGTGGTGTGACGACAAGGAGGACAACAAGAGTTTTTGAATTCGATCAGACTCTGATGGAATCTTATCTCAATTGAGAGAATATTGATGCGGGTGGTGACTCACCACTGGTAAGGTGAAGCAATCTTCGTGGGAGAACCTGCCGCGTCAGCAGGTTCCATCGAATTCGACGGATTATACGTACAGTCATCGTGTACGACAGCGGCTGAAACCGAACCATGGTCGTATAGTACAGTACAACCATGGTCGTACAAAATATGATGCACGAAGCAGGCTGCCACGAGCGATACTGTCCCGTCACTCAATTACGTGTATAGCTTACAGCCGTCGGATTCGGCTTGACTGAATGTTCTCGATAAGGCAAGACTCGCGCGAGAAAGAAATTGAGAAGAGGACATCCTAACGAACCACTAACAGAAGGTGGGAGAGTGCAGGAAATTTCAATTCCTTACTGTAGCTTTGCCCTAACAGGGATGGACATTCCCCCAAACCACTCGCAAGTCTCCACCACAACCTTTTGCCAAACGTCCGAGCCTTATTACCGGTGGTTCTGAACGAGCCAGGATCTTAGCAGTATAACCATGTCCCTTTCCGTGATTCATTTAGTTGCAGCTTCATTACCCGTTTGTTCCACGCACTATGTCTACCAATTCATTTTATACAAAATCTAGAAATAATGAGGCTCAAGGCAAGCGGGTGGCCTGGGGGGGAGGGCAAGACAAGCAGGTTCGTGCGAGGGAAGCAGTGGGGGGCGATAGAAGCAAATGGGCTGGTGGGAGGGGCGAGAGAAGCACGTGGCCTGGGGAGAGGGGAGAAACTGGGTCGGCTAGGGGAGCCGAGAGAAAGTGGTGGGCTGAGGGGAGGGGCGAGCAGAAGAGGCGGGCTGGGGAAAGAACCCACCACTGCATATTCTGCACCTCCACTGCATCCTCCTGCACCCGCAATAGCAGCACCACCAATCCCAAGTCTCAACACAGCTCCCGCGTCTTTTCCCCTTTCCTCTCCTCAAACCCTGACTCGGAACACGTTAGATCCACCAACTCAGTTGAGCCTCCCCTACTTGCTACCATTTGCTGCACCTTCTCCTCCTTCTCTCCTTTTCCCCCTTTCCTCTTGCGCTGTCCCTTCATTTTTTTCACTACTACATCCCTTTCCCTCACTTCCCCCCATCAATACACTGCACCTGCCCGCAGCAGCAGCAACCCCAGGGTCCCACGTGTGGTTGGGGGAGTGGCGGGTGGAGAGGGAGAGCAGCTGTAGCTGGGAGATGGCATGGCGCAGGTCCCCCGCACTGCTGTCCGCCACAGCCGCTACAGCCGGGGCTGCCGCAGCTGCTACAGCCGCCAGCGCCTTGTGCATGGCGCCTGGTGCTATGGGGTTGAACTCCACCTGATGCCCCCATGGCATCCACACACACGAGGTGAATGCAAGGGGGGGGAGCACATGATGGAAAAGTTGACGAGGCAAATGGTTGAGTACGAGCGAGCATTTTGTAAAAAAATCTGGGCGGTGCCGGGTAAGCATTGGAACACTCCAACATGCATGCCACATGTGAGCATGATTGCACTGACAGTGGAGATGTGTGATGTGATGCTGATGTATCGGAAACGAAGCGGCATGTGGTGCGTCCATATACATGTGGGAAGCAGAAAATTTGCCACAAGCATGTGCCGCAACCCACCTTGTGAGCTCCTCCGCTGATCAACGCATCCAGCACATCCCGCGTTGGCACCGTGCATGCAGTGCAGACAACCTTACAAGGAACCAACCATGGTTATGGTGGAAAATAACAAAAAGGATGGGGCAACGGGGAGAGAAAACGAGGGAAAGCTGGGGGAGGGGGGAAGGCAGCGAAGTAGGAGGCGGGCATTGAGAAAATTGACAGTGTTCCCACATCCGGGAGGGGCCACTAGGGAAAGCACCTTGCTGGGCTGCTGCCATGAGCTCTTCTGCACCCATCATCCGCACATGCATCATGCACGCCCGCGCACATGACCATCAGGAAGGATTGGAGAGGGTCGAGAACAGTACGGTTGCTGCAGGTTGGAGGCCGCACATGGCAAAAGATGAGAGTGTGCTACTCGAGTGGCCAAGGCCGCACAGCCCAGCAGTGGACAGGAAGCATGACAAGGGACAACAACACACAAGGAGCACATGGGGAGCGCTGTTGCCGTACCTTTCCACTGGCATCGCCCTTGTGCTCCCCTCCTGCCGCCTTGTGCTTGCCGCCTTTTCTCTTGCTCTGCTGCACCGGCCTGTGCGTGGCAGGTGGGCCGAAGTGTGCATCGAACCACTGCGCCACCTCCTGCACCTGGTGGCGGCCATGACCGCCATGGGTTTAGGACAAGGTAAACAGTTTAGTACTTGCCAAGAGGGATAAAATGCAATTTTTATGGCTTGGTAGACAAGGAAAATCGAATCGTCTGCTAATGATAACGAGATAGGACGCGGAGAACAAAAGCGAGCAGCGCAGCGCGCGGCGGGCTGCACCTTCTTGCGATGCACGGCTGATCCACCCACAGCCCCGCGTGCACCGTGCGGGAAGAAGGTGCACCTGTGCACGGTGCACAGCTCGCCCTCCTGCTTGGGCGCAAACCGATCCACCCATAGCCCCGCGCCCCTTCCGCTAGCGCCATCCCCGCTGTTAGGTGTCACGAAACCTCTGACACAGCTCGAATCGCCAGTGCGTGGCGAGGCGCCGGGAAGCGAGACAGCTTCGGAAAACGACTTGCGGTTGAGAGTGCGCCAAGCTCGGGTAGAGTTGAAACTCGTGTTTTTTTGTCATCCTTGCTGCTTGAGTCGCGCTTCTGAGAATCTCTTACCGCGCTCGAGGGACCACCCCCTTTCTTCCTCTTGCTCCTCATATTGCCTAGATACTCGCATCGGCTATTGGACAAAATTTGGCAGTGTGGCATCTATCCGTAAGGCAAATTTGTTCCCTTAGCAGCTGAGCGTAAAGGGATGACCCTTGAACGCGACACTGATGCAAGCTGCGACTTACAAACAAGACCTTTTGGTCTTAGAACAATATATATCTAGATACACATGCTTACCAACTATGATCAACAGAGGAACATATTAATATTGACATATCCAAATAAAAAAAAAAGGAAAAGCATTTAAAAAAAATGTATAAATGGTGGCTGTTGATGACCGTTGTTGATCATTCGCATGAAGGAAAATCAAGTTTACGAGTTTATACAATTTTCATGTTCTATTCAGTTTGATGTGAAGGATGGTCTTTCCAAGGCATGTACATTCAAGGTGTGTGTGGTTTGTGGGGGTCCCGCCCTTCACGCTATGTCCAGTTGGCGCTCTCTGGTTGTTGTTCCTGCTTCCCACTCTCTTGGAATTTAGAGTGCCAATTCTTTCATCTAATAGTGGTTTAACACGTGTTCGAGCTACCACGTCAGATCTCTGCCTCTGGTGATGGTGGATCCATGGCAGGCCTGCGTGTCACCGGCACCAAGATGATGTTCGATCCGCAAGTGCGCGAGAGCGATGCGTGATTCGCGCGCATTACTTCGCTGCGCAGGAAGGTTCTATGGCTCCTCGATTCTGCATTGATGCAGCAAAACTGTCCAGAATGTGAATGCCTGCTAACGCGACCAGAGGGATGGCTGCTCCATCCATACATGTATCATGTTATGACCTCTTCTCATTACACTAAAAATACTAACTAGTAGCATCTCAGGCTCAATCAGCTCCTCGACTGCCTTCCTTCTTGCCCTTTGATCGCGCTACCTCCCACACTAAACATGGCTCTCCGTCTCGGCGCTCATCCCCTCGCTGTCTCGGTGCCCGCTTCTCAGAGCGCGACGCCTCGTCACTGCCAGGAGGCAAAGAGCGTGGCCCGAGTTAGCGTCGTCGCGTCGGCTTCAGCGAAGCAGCCGGAGGTGTGTGTGTGTTACATCCACCCGCACCATCATACGCTAAAGAAAGTCGTTTTTTCTTCCGCAAAAGGGTCTGGGAACCCATCACAACTGGAGCATATCCTTATATTGCCGTACAAATGAGATGATCAACACTTCAATGAGAATCCGTATGGGTGTGGATACATGACCCAAGATTGTGACTTGCAGCCTGATCTGTGCAACCCACACCCTACTTCTCCAGTCACTCTAACATCAGGTTTTAAAGTAGCAATCACATCTATTTACTCGTCCATGACGTTCTAAACATGTTATTTCCTTCACAATGACTCTCTTTCATCAGGATCTCGCAAGGCCGGTGAGTCGCCGCCACGTGCTCATTGGTGCGGGTGCGCTCGCAGCGACCGTATCTCCTTTCTTCGCCGGAGCTCGCTACGCGCTGGCGGAGGAGGAGAGTGCAGAGGAGCTTGCACCTGCACTCACTGACGACGCCGTTGAGGAAGCCGTCGCGGAACCTGAAGCCCAACCCGAGGCCCAGTCTGAGCCCGAGCCTGAGGCCACCCCGGAGACGGAAGCGGAGGCCGAGTCCGCAACCGAACCCGAGCCTGAGGCCACTCCCGAGCCGGAAGCGGAGGCCGAGCCTGAGGCCGAACCTGAGACTGCTCCGGAGCCCGAGCCCGTGGCCGAGGCTGAGACTGAGACGGAGGGTGAAGCGGAGAAGGAAGGCGAGGTGGAGGTATTTAGCAACGATGATGATTCTGATTCGGACTCGGACTCGGAGTACGGCGAGCTGGAGGAGACGCCCGTGCTCAAGGCCATGGCTGAGCTCTCCAGCTTCCTGGAGGAGCTCAAGAAGCTCGCGGAGTTGCCGTGATGGTGAAGCACTTGTGTGTACGATTGTGTGAGTTCGTAGGCTAGATAGTGCTCTTTTCTCCCCTCCTGTGATCTTTTTTACGTGGATGGGGCTCGTTCGTATCCAGCATGATGCAGTTTCAGATTGAAAGAAAACTCCAAAACTTCTGCTTGATACTTATGTACGAGGGCCTGCTGACCCAGGTAGCATAATTGCAAGGCACAGGACAGGTATAAGGCTGACAGTCTGCTGGCGGTGGCAGTCCTGCCTCGTTGCAATCCTGAAGGCATTCAGTGCAATAAAGCTGTTTAGCCTTACAAACTGGAATCCGAGTTCCACTCCAGCTCTTTTTTTTTAGCCACTGCCAAGCCAGTTTGTCATCTATGCATAGAAAAAAGTAGTCATGTAATTGATTGAGGTCATATTGTTTTCAAGTGTGCGTGTGTACAGTTATGCCAATTAACTCAGTTAATGAATCCAGGCAATAGTGTAGGTGCGTAGCGAAAATTACCCTGCGGAGCTCCCGCGCAAACTCCGCAAACAGTGCGCTGTGCAGGTGCAGGAAGGGTCGCGGAGATTGGCTCCCTCTCGAATTCAAAGGTGCGCAGCCTTGGGCACCGGAAGTCGAAAACTTGTCAGAGCTTGACGGCACAAAGCACAGTTACCCTTCGCAGAAGCCAAGCACTACGTTCGCATTATGCTTTCCATTCTGGCGAAAACAATTGATTCCCCGTCGATACTTTCGGGCGCGCCGCTGACTCCGTCACTTCCGCCATTTTCCCCCCTTCTGGCGGAAAACGCTGGGCCTCCACCCTGCCGCGCGTGTCAGTCAGCACATGACCATGCGGCGTCCCCCCTTGGGCTTGCCGAATGCTCCATGCCCATCGTACTGAAGGCAAATCACCTCCCCACCTTCCCTCCCCACTTCCCCTCCAGGCGACATTCCCAAGGCCATTCCAGTCACCTCTGCCGAATTCCGGTTCATTCATTCACCGATCCCCTCTAGTCAGCGTTAGCTCGTGCTTGTTTCCATGGCTTTCTCAGCTCGCCATGGCTCCTGTCGAAATCTCCCAGAGGTGTAGGTTACTGTGAGAATCCCAGCCACTAACCACTGGGATAAAAGGGCTTGTTTATATAGCGGGTGAGTGCGCCCATAACCCCCCAGGCCGACGTGCCTGTAACCCTTCCCTAGGATCATCGGGGATCCCCAGTGGACCTCTGACACCCCCCCGCACTGGGATGCCCGAAGTGCACACACCGGGAATCGAACCCGAGACCTTCGCTCTGATACCATGTCAGAATCCCAGCCACTAACCACTGGGATAAAAGGGCTTGTTTATATAGCGGGTGAGTGCGCCCATAACCCCCCAGGCCGACGTGCCTGTAACCCTTCCCTAGGATCATCGGGGATCCCCAGTGGACCTCTGACAGTTACTACGATTAGATCATATTCTTAAGAAAATTTATGACAGCAGTAGCTTATTTCGATAAGCCTGTTTCAGTGGGATTTCTGGTAGAGCCGTGTCAGCAAATAGCTTCTGTCAGGCTGATGATAACTGCTTGCCTCTTACCGTAAGCCCCCGGATAGAAGCGCAGGCCTCGGATAAGCGCCGGCGCTTATAAAAGGATGAGGGCGCTTATATCCGGTCCTCGATTATAAGCGCACCCCTTAAAAAATTCTGATTTATTATAAGCGCATGTCTATTTTTTAATCTGAAAATCAGTCGATTTCAGAAACGAATTTCTCTTTACCAGGGAATCGAAGTACAGGTCCACTTTCCCACTCACATCACACTTGCTGCGCGTCTAGTCAGCACTTGCTGTCGCTTAGTCAGCATGTGTTGGCAGGGAATACATCCCTGCTACCGTAAGTTGCGCGAGAATCAGATTCGCGACCCCAGATATATTCGACTCGATTACAATTGGCAGAACAAGGTGTACAGATTGGTGTAAAACAAATATAAACTTGCTTTGCCATTTTATAAGCGCCGGCTCTTATAAAATTCCTCAATTATAAGCGCACCCCCTAAAAAACAGTGTTTTTTTATACCCCCAGGGGCGCTTCTATCCGGGGGCTGACGGTATAACCGCGGTAGTTATTTTTCGTAACCGCTAAGGCAATCCCACCTTTTTTATTTCCGCAAATACTGCCACGTTAAGTTTCAGCATTTAGATTTTGTTAAACTGATTTTTAGCCAATACTTTCAGCTCAGCAACATGGTCAGTGACGGGTGTTTCCTGATAAGGTTTCCACCGCTCTAGTTGAAGCGTATGTCGCTTCCGTTCCGTTTAAGCGTCGTTCCGAAATAGTCGTACATCCAACTACTCTCCGATAGCTGCTATGGTCGCCGAAAGCCGAACGTTCAGTCAAGGCCTTATGATACGTGGCAGCACGGTGTCAGGAATGACATACGAGCCGTTTCTGTTAGCATCTTCAGGCAGCACTGGAAGCACGAGGTGTTATTACGGCAGTTTCCAACAGGGTCGACGGTTTTCACGTCAGATTGGCACCGTAATGGTCAGAATGGCGAGTGAATTTGAAGCCCCTTCGGGACGACGGAAGCAGTCTCAAGGCAACCGGCATCCAACGTCACGGTCACTCACGGCGACACAGTGACACACGACACAGAGACGGAAAGTAATGGGTTAACTACTCCGAGCAACGGGGTGCAACCTGACGAGCGGCGAAAGACAAGCGGACGAGCAATGATTGCGGCGATTGGCGACTAGCGAATGACGAACGAGCAGCGAATGGCGAACGGCTAGCGACGAACTGTCAGCGGCTGGCAACGTGCGGCGATCGTGTAGCGGCAAGTGGTGAATTTCGAATTACGCGCAACCATGCGGAAGACGGCGACAAAGCGTGCGACCTTCCGCGTGCGACCAACCGGCGCGTACGGTGTGCGGAAGATGGCGACTTAACGCGTGCGACGTTCCGTATGCGGCGCCATTCGGATGGTGGGCGACATGGCGCATACGACGATGTGCGACTAACGGCATGCGACGTATCGCGGAAGATGTTCCCGGTGCGGCGACTTACCGCGTGCGACGATCGGCGTGCGACGTTGTGAGACGAACGACATGCAACGATGTGCGACGAACGGCATGCGACGTACCGCGCTCGTCCGTGGGCGGAAGATGGCGACTTACCGCGTGCGACGTTTTGCGTGCCGGCGCTGTTCAGATGCATGCGACGATGTGCGACAAACGGCATGCGACGTAGGCTGCGCGCGTCCGTGTGCGGAATGTTGGCCCAGTCTTCTACCGACTGGGTTAAAAGGGCATGTTTGTATGGTGGGTAGCACACCCATAACCCCCCAGGCCGCGCCTGTAGCCCTCCCTCACTCAACTCGGGACGATCCCAGTGCCCCACCAACAATCTCCCCCTCACTGGGGTCGTCTCCCCCTCACTTGGGGCTCGTTAGGGCACCGGCGCTCACTTGGCGCACACTGGGATTCGAACCGGAGACCTTTGGCTCTGATACCACTTGTTGGCCCAGCCTGCTACCGACTGGGTTAAAAGGGCATGTTTGTATGGTGGGTAGCACACCCATAACCCCCCAGGCCGCGCCTGTAGCCCTCCCTCACTCAACTCGGAACGATCCCAGTGCCCCACCAACACGGAAGATGGCGACTTACCGCGTGCGACGTTTCGCGTGCCGGCGCGGTTCGATTGCATGCGACGATGTGCGACGAACTGCATGCGACGTATCGCGCGCGTCCGTGTGCGAAGATGGCGAGTAATACGCGCGAGGCCGTGCGGAAGATGGCGACGTACCACATGCTACGTGTGCGGAAGTCGGCGACCAACTGCGTGCGACCTTCCCCGTGCGACTGTGCGCGGATGCTGGCGACGTCCCGGCGACAGTTTGCGGAAGATGACGACTTACCGCGTGCGACGGTGTGCAGCTGGCGCGGTGAACATCGGTGAAGGCGTGCGGCTGGCGCGGTGAAGAGCGGTGAAGGCATGCGGCTGGCGCGGTGAAGAGCGGTGAAGGCGTGCGACCTTCCGCTTGCGACGATCTCCGACGAGCGCCATGCGACGTACCGTGTGCGTCCGCGCGCGTCCGTGTGCGGAAGGTGGCGACTAAGTGCGTGCGAGGGCGTGCGATGCGGATGATCAGCTTCAACACTTTCCTGTAGCTAAGTCTCCTCGCGCTCCCCCCTCTTCACTCCTCCCTCGCTCTCCCCGTCCGTCGTTTTTACTGCTGCCAGATTGTCACCTCGTATCCCTTGCTTGGCGCATGCTGGTGGTGGTCCATGGTGCTATGGAGTGGAGCTCATGTAGAGTGAAGTGTAGTGGGAGTGGTGGGAGAGATTAGAGGAGAGGTGTGCATTCATGCCATGCGTTCGTCCCAGTCCTCGCTGGCTCAGCTCGCTGCTGTAGTGCTGTGGGCCACTGTCGCCATGCGCCTTCCCCGTTCCCCCCACCCCTCCCCAACCACTGAATTTTCTGCTGTTGCAAACTCCAATCAACTCTCATTCTTGCTTTCAAGGATCTCTGCTCTCTTTCCCACCTTGACATGTTTTCTGCTCTCTGTGCCTGCCCTCTCGCTGTTCCTTCTCCCTCCACCCATCTTCTTCCCTCTTTCTAAATTGAGCGTGACAGAGCACCAGAGCAGCAGCACGCGCAGCAGCAGTCAACATCAGCTGTCAACAGCCAGGCAACACCAGAGCGGGCCTGCGATCATAGCCAACTGCAGGGAGCGGCGGTGCCAATTGCGGGGAGCGGCGCTGCCAACTGCGGGGAGCGGCGGTGCCAACTGCTGGGAGCGGCGCTGACGTGGTGAATGGCGAATTGGAACGTGTCGAGAAATTGCGGCGAGTGCGGAAAACAACGATCGGCAAGCAACGAACAGCTTCTGAACCCGGCTAAGTTCCCCCCTCAACCCTTATCGCTCTGTTGTGTTTCTACGACGCTCCCCTCTCCTCCCGACGCCCTGTTGTCGTTGCACCACTGTGTTTTGTTGTGTTGTGTTGCTGCCTCGGACGTTTCTCGTCCCGTTACGCTCTGCACACGT